AACGGACTCTGTCAGGTATTACAAGGTCACAATAAACCTTCAATATTCCAATCTTATTTTACTGAAAAACCCTGAACAATACCCTTGAAACAATACAAACTTGTTTTAACTGGAAATGAGGTAGTGCTCATAGAAGAGCAAAAGGGGTCAGGGACTGATTTTTAGACCTTTCCTGTAAGTACAACACTAGTACACCCCAATAAAATATAGGTTCATTAAAGGCTCATTAACAATGCTTTACTCTATTTCATATATTCAGAACCTCCAGTTGCACTGTCCATGATTCTTGCTACTGCTCCTAAAAATTGTTCACCATAACTAGAAACAGAGTTCAAGTTTATCTCATCTTCTCACAGTTCAAATTGTTCAGGTACTTTGAATAAGACTGCATGAAAGAGGCTGTCAAAATAGCAGCAAAACCGAGATTCGGATGAAGAAAGTCCAAAGAAAGAGAAACAGGATTAGAAGATCTGAAAAAGACAAATCCTGACAGCAGATTTCCCTTAATGTTGAGGAAAGTTTTCAACAGATACAGGACAAGAGTGTGGGGGAGATAAAAAGAGCGATTTCATGCCTGTATTTCAACAAAAAAAAAAAAAAGATTTCTCCCATCTATACAGACATTTTCTCAAGTTTCTGCTCAATTATGTTTTGCATAAGCAACACGGGGCTGACGAGACAAGAAATATTTTTTTTCCAATTACACATTCAGTATCATGTGAGCATTAAAGTTCAACAAGAGCAGCAGTTTGGGTTTAGTTGATGTAAATACACAATGGTGATCACTAGGGCTGTGTATTGGCAAGAATTTGGCGATACGATACATATCATGACAGAGGAGTGATACGATATATCCCGATATATTTCGATACAGTAAACAAGACGATATATTGTGATATTTTTGGTCCAAAAATTCTATTAAATAAAAACCTCTTACTGGAAAAAAAAAAACGAAAAAACAAAATTCATTGTCTCAGAMAATTCTAATATTACATAGACATACTTTTGATACATTTAGCTGTGTTCTGCTTTGTATGTTTTATTTTATTTTTTCTTATTTCATCCATGTTTTCAATTATTAGACTATATTTGCCAATAAATAGTTTGAAAATATATTTTTTGCAGCTTTTCATTTTTAATATTAATTTACAATATGGTCACCCAACACTTAACAATAGGCTTTATGTTGTCATAAAGTTCAGTAAACAGACGATATGAAGCTGCTGCACACAGAGTTTCTGGGATCAGCTGACCTGCATCCACAACCTGATTTGTATAACTGTGGGTCAAACAGCAGGGCAGGTCCCGAAGAAAACCAGTTAAGAAATTGAGAACCTAAATGAGTTAAACCGTTTTTGAAGCGAACACAGCAGGATAAAGTACATGGACTTTGATGTGATCAGCCGGTCATTGGGAGCAACAGACAGAGTTTTATGTCACGGGGGGAGTGCCGAGCTCGCGCGAGGTGATAGACGCATGCGCTATACGTAACGTGAAAGCTGACTACAGTTGGAAAAAAGAGCGTACGAAACACTTAATTTGTCTTAAAATACAGACATTCTGACAAATAAGTACAGTAACTGTTTGTAACCTTACCTCAGCTTAGAAGGCAGAAAGTGGCTGTGTCCAAAACGGCAGGACGGGTCCTCCGGAGGACCCAGACTCCCCGGTCTCGGCAGGCCGGGTCCTTGGTAGACCGGGAAGACCGGAAAAAAGAGTCTGTGGATTTGGACGGTCTAGCCTCCCCTCCTTACCCCGGCGTACGTCTTGTCACCTAGCAACTGTGACGACGCTAAACAAGCAAACTTAAATCAAAACTAGAAAAATATCAATACATTAGCATTATTAATATCACAAAACTATAAAATTAACTTAAAAGTATCATTTGAAGAACTAATTGACCCGCTGTAGGTTCATGTTTATTTCGCGTTTTTTATGAAGAAAAAATAATATTTAAAAACATGTCCATACAAATGATAAAAGTATTAGAATTACAACCGCTAATTTTTTTTAATTTTTAAATCACCATATTTTTATTTAAAATGTATTCTTTTCTCTCGCTTCGTCCGCCATTACTAGCTTAAAAAAATCTCCGGTCAGGCCGCAATGCATTATGGGATATGCTGGGCCGGGAAGGATCCATCAGACCTGTCCTTCGATTCGGGGAAAAAGAAGGACGTATTTGTCGGACGCATCGGAGGAGTCTTCCGTTTTGGACGTCCTTCGTCGCGGCGCTGTGACGTATGCGGCCGACAAATTCGACCTTCGGAGGACCCGTCCTGCCGTTTTGGACACAGCCAGTGTCTGTCTTTTCTGCTCAGATTCAGTTATCGGAGCATGAAGCTAATGTTTACTTACAATGCTAATGCTCTCTTACTCTCTGGCGCTCAAGAGGTAGAGGAGCCAAATGACTGGCTCACTGCTGCCAACTAGTGGTCAGAGGCTGAACTACAACATAAAAATGAATGGCTGGCAGGAAAGTTGACATTTTAAACCTTAATAAAAAAAAAATCGATACAGGGCTTTAGAATATCGATACAGTATCGGGAAATGAAATATCGCGATATTTCAGTGTATCGATATTTTCTTACACCCCTAGTGATCACAGAGTAAACTCCACCTTGAGTCAAATATTGTACAAAATGTTTCAGTCACCAAAATTATCAAAAACRCTGAAAAACCACTTTGGAACAATCTCCATGAGCACTGCTGACAAACTAAACATCACATGAAACATGAGAGTCTTTCAGTCTTTCTGCTGTGAGTCAGAACACATGACTGCAACTCAAAGCTTCAGGTTTTCAAGAGTTTTCAGAACATTAATGCACCGACAGGCCACTGGTTATGATTCCCACAAASAGGGTGGAACATGTCAACGTCCTGCTTGATGCAAAGCCAAAACAAGCTGACCACCCTTCACCAAGCGGCCCCCCGTCAGCAGGAAGGAAGTTTTTTGTTGTCAGAAGAAGGCAGACTCATTGTGTGTCCCTCTTCTATTTCCAGAAACAGGCAGCATGTCAATGCAAGACAAGATTCAAATGTTAAACCAGGTTGGCAGATATCCAGCAGGGATAGTTGAGGAATTTGCTATGACTGAATGGAGATCAGAGAGTTCAGAATCTGCTGCCAATCTTGGTCTGGTTGGGAATGTTATGTGGACTGTTTGTCCAGCACTCTGGTCTATGTAGGAGTTCAGTGGTACTCAAACTATTGAGTACCACCTCAAAATAAGGTTAAGTTCTCCAAGTACTACCTGAACAGATGAATCTGTCCAGCTATCTGTCATGACCTGTATGACTGAGAATCTTCAAAGGAAAAAACTGGATAAATAAAAAAACAAGCATTTTTAAGTTTGCACTTCAACATTTCAAAAAAAAACTTTGTATTTGATTCACAAATTTATATGCAGTTCATAGTGTAGTCACTTAATTTTGAACATGTTTAYAGCAACCCATGCAGTGGTTCCCAGAGTTGGGATCAGGATCCACAGTGGGGYCCTGTAAAATAATTATGAATTAATAATACTAAAATGATTTATTTTTCCCCCTTGTTACAAAACAGTGAGGTTGGTGTACCTAAAATGAATAAAAGTAGCATCTTGACTATTGTTACTATAACTTTTTTACTTGACCTGATACCAATGTTTCTCAACCAAAAATGGGGGCACAGGCCTGTGCTACTGATATTTTGTGGGTCAAAAGCTGAAAAGTTTGGAAACCACTGCACTAAAGCTACATTTTGACACCTTGCCAGGATCTCTCCTCTGTCAAAACATGTCCACGTCTAAATGCTACGCCAATAATAAATAGCAGTTATGGAAAACTGGTCCAGACTTACTTATTTATTTTAAAAATGTCCAGTAGATTAAATTGTAAACAAGGGGGGCAGCATGTGGCCAGAGATGGACAATGCAACAATGTAAAAGGCAATCTTCTTGAATTTTTTATTTTTATTATTCAACTAATCAACAGTAATAGCCAAAAGGAGACTGTTAGGGACAAAGCCTGATCATCCTCGGCTGGGTCTTCTTTGGGTGAAGGTGTGTAATGATAATAGCTGAAACACTGGATGAACCTGCAGTTCCCAGCTGAGGATTTGACTCAAAGTTTAGATAAACCTAAAAATGCTTCAGACGATTGATAATTTTAATAACTGTACCAAATAAATAAATAATAAAAATGATGAAGATAATAAAAACACACGTCACCTTGGTTGAATGCTTCGGTGTAAGATGTGATGGTTCCATGCATTTATTGCTAACAACATCCTTACATACAACTGTGGTCCTCACAACAACATCTGCCAAACATCAAAGATAACTTGACTCAAACTTTCTGCACGTTTTGCGCATTTAGGTGCAAGAAGGTCCAGCAGAGGTAGGAATGCTCCCGAGTTACCTCCAGTGKTACTGAAACCCCAATTTGAAAAGCGCAAGGTTTAAATTTCAGGAGTTTGGTGATGCAAATATGCATTGCCTGCAGCTCTGCATCACTGAATTTTGGAAAACACTGCCTGGTATGTAAGATCTGTGTAAAAAAAAAAGAGGAGGCAAGGGATGCAGAACCGTCTGTAAGAGCATCATAAGGACTAAACATGAGGAGGGGGATGGGATGGGACTAGTTGAGATTACCTCATCCAGTGCAAATTGTGTTATTATAACCTTCACAGCTTTCTGCACACTGAATGCCAACCTGATGTGTAGGCGGTAGTCATCATTTTAAGGATGATGATTCTGGTGTCGTTATCAAATTATATCAATATCAAATGTTCATAAAGCACCGTGAAATCTGCGTTAATGGGATGTGAAGGTTGTGAATGACATTGCAGCACTTCCATCACGATTTATGGATCAATTTTCGACTTCACCTTTTCGACACTTCCTTAGCCTCCGAGATTTAAAAAAAAAAAAAAAACTCTGCTGCGGTTTAAATTGTCTTCTTCTAAAAGTAGCTCGACTTAATGTTGAATGAATGGATTCCAGTGTGTGAATAAAGACTTACATGTTGCTTCTGGGAGAGTGTTTTCCTCCATTTGAGGCGGCAGTTCCCTCTCTTTCTGTCCTTTTGTTCACTCAGAGGAGACGTGTGGGTTTTGGGCTCTTCCTCTCATTCCTTTAGGCACAACGGGGGGAAACTTAGCCGAGTCACTCCAGTTGTCTTAGCGAAATGTAGCCCAAAAAAAAAAAAAACCCCTCCAGACCGAGTTTGTCTAAATACAACGTCGAGAAAACKGTTGGTGTAGGCACCCGTGGCTGAGAGTCTTCTTCGGATAAAATAAATACAATTAATAAAAGGGTGTCACCGGGAATTTCCGATACAGAAAGGAAGGAAAGTAGAAGTTTTGACTCCACCACGCAGCTCCAGCTGACGCTCTTCTTCGGCGGAAGATCTCGCAGCAGATCGGACTGTACCATTACACCAAAGAGGGGGGGCAGTGTTCTCATCACTATTTATTAAATAAAAGTGTTTTTTATCATTGATATTTAAAATAAAATTATGTTAGTTCTCAGTTTAAATTATATATAATCTAAACTTTATAATAGGATTTAACAAGAAAATTATAAAAACATTTTAAAATGAAAACAACAATGTCCCCTCAAGCGTCGTGCTTGTTTCTTTCACCCACACAACTTATTTTACAGTCTGTTCACATTCAATCCAAAATATCCTTGTGGTCAACATTTGTCAAATATTACCAACTATGTTGTTGATGGTGAAAACGTTTTATCATAAAATACCACTACATGTTAAAGACATTGCCAAAAACCTTTGTTAAATTACAATTAAAAATATTCTTATGTGGGTCCCTGATGTGATATGCAAGAGTATTTTTAGTTATTTTAATACTAAGTTTGTTGGGCAGGCAGCTGCTCAGTTGAATAAATGTAAGCATAGTGGATAATGTGCATTTTCATTTAATAAAACTTAAGACAAATTCAGAAATTCTAATATGTGAAGCAGTGGTTCAGCATGCACAACATAATAAACATACCAAACATTGAAATAAAAAATGAACTTTTTAAAAAATGTGGTTTGAATATTCAGAAATTGATTTGCTATTATTAGACTTTTTTTCACAAACTGGTGAACCTCTGCCCATCTTTATGTAAACATGTAAACATCTAAAGAGATTCAACCACTTAAAATGCTCTTTTTAAACTCAGTCCTTTTACTGACCTTTCASTTATCAAATATTAGATGCTAAATGATCCCGTTTCTTATTTGTACCACTTATTTTTACAGCCTTATAATCATCCTTGTACCCACATTTTAAGATGCTGTTACTGTGTTGTACTGTTATTGTTACTGCCATGAAATTCAAAATTGCCTTATTTTTTTTGCTAAAGAAGGGTATCATTTCTTAGCTTTAATGTTTTACTATGTTCCACTGTGAATGAAATGCAGGGTTATGAGATTTGCAAATCATTTGCTGTTTTATTCACACTTTACTAATCGTAACAATGATTATAATAATTGTTGAGATGTACAGGGAATTGACTTTGTTGTGTTCTGAACACTTGATGATCCTGTCAGCCTGGTTTTTGTTTGGGTGAYTGATGTGTTTGTCAAGTAACTCCACTCAGGTGACATTATGATCAKTTTCTGTACAACTTGCAAACTGAAGGCCGTCCGTAGTCACAGAACCGTTTCAAGAGTTTCAGGGAGTCTTCTCGTCCACCACCTGCGGATGTTTTAGAGCATCTGCCCGGGTGGGGGCTGGGCCAGGGGCTGCTCGGCACGCTTGAGAGGGGGACACCCCTGTCTATAATGGGCCCATAGTGGGGTCTATTGTGCAGCAGCTGAGTAGTGCTCACCCAAACCCCCCACGAGCCACCTGTTAATGCCACTGGATTGGGAGGGATGTTGAAAGAGGTGGGGGTGGGTGCGCTCTTTAAGATGTGTGGTTGGCTGATTTAGCAGAATTACAGCAGAAAAAGAAAGAAACCATCAGGTCTTGAAATATATTTTTGAAAGGTTTTGTTCAGTCACAGAAATTTTTTTTAAAACTTTAATCTAAATGGTCTGGTCAGATTATTGAGCTTCTGCAGTTGTACTTTTGATATCAGTAATGGGTTTTTAAAAATAGAAAAAAGTAACTTGTTTTTTTTTAATTGTGTGAAAGCTATTAGGCATTTATATAATTGAGAAGATCCATTTTCTTCCAAACGTTTTTCAGTATGTACCTCGAGCTGCAAGTTTTGTGCCATTTCAACAGTTTATGTATGAAACCTTAYGGTACTTCTCCTAATTTGCAGGGGGGTTAGGGGGGTTATAACCCCCACAATAATTTGATCCAGTCAATATAACCCCCCCAATAAAACTGCATCCTGTTGGCTTTAGGTAACGTTGACCTGTTTAAAAAATGTATGATATCATATGTGTACATTTGAGCATAAATGACAAGCAAGGTTTTAGAGCATAATCTCCCCACTAGTAAACCTAAAGTTATGTCCTTGTACTTCTCCTTCAGGACTTTTGATATTTCAGCAAATTTTGAGATATTTAGCCTTTTCTTTTGTTCTCATTGAAAATAAATGGGGCAGTCTTCAACATCTTTAAAACCCCTCAAAATATTCTTTATCTTAACTCTACTTTTTACCTTTTGGTACTGCTTTTTTAACTTCTTAGAGCTAATTTTTTTTAGCTAAATTGCCAGTTTGTAGCAAACATGCTCTTTCTGCTTTTTTGTGCTAGGTTCACTTGTTTGTTTTTTTCAAAAATCTGTCAACATTAAGCATTTATGCTACTTTTCTCAGAAAATGCTAATTCTCTTGTAAATTTGGATTTTTTGTTTTTTGAAATGGGAAAAAAAACAACCGAGTTCAGCCCTGCAAACTAGACAGCAAACCTATAGCTAGTAGACAGATAGGAAAATAAAATGGCAGAGGATAAAAGCATACCTCATTATCTGAAGTCAGGAGTTTCAGTATACAGTATCTCACACTGGTGCACTGTACTGCACTAATGAGCCATTCAAAGTAAGATACAGCCCAGTTGGTCACTGTTGGATGTGAAGAAATGATGCAYGACTTAAAAAAAGTTCTGCAGAATAAAACGGTTGTGACTGCAGTAATGCCTTTTTTTTAATTCAGGCTCTGTTAAGTTTCTCATTCAGGTGATTTTAATGCACACAGGTGGAGGAGACGCGTGTCTTTTATCCTGACCCTTGTTACTCAAAAAATACTTCATTTTGAAGCTGCAGCTGCAGTCCACACAAAGCAAACCCTACTACACACACACACTTACACACATCTCATTTAACTGTCTTTGATCACCAGGAACAGTTCTCAGGGCTGTAAGGAATAAAAAGCACACTAAAAATAGACAAGAATTGTGAAAACAGCTGCAGAATGATTGAATCAGTATACACACTTCCTGAAAACAAGAGGGACARGAGAGTAAATAAAGGAACTCAATAATAAAAGCAGCTAAAGGAGGGAGGAGACACGTCCTAAGACATTATATAAAACAACAGATACTGCAGGGAGGAAGGATCWGATAAAAGCCAGTTGTGCAGTGTCTCCCTGTTTAAACAGAAGTGCTCCTGAAAAAGAGGTCAAACAAGAGCTTTGACTTCAATGGGCTCATAAAGCAAAATTTAAGACGTTCAAACCATTTTATCAACAGCAATATGTCACTTAAAATGTTTTTCTGTATTATTTCCAATTAAGTGCATGATGCAAATTCATATATAT